GGTTTTTTTCTGTGTTTTGTGTTTTCATGCTGCAGATCAACTAATTTTCTTGGTCCAATTAGAGTTACAGCTGCTAAAGCCTAAGGCATGACTGGCTGATTGGGTTTTGAAGAATGTGACATTTTGCAGCTAAAAGCTTTATCAAGGCTAAGTAGCATTAACCTCTTTTCTTGCTTCCTTTTTTCTCTTTAAGCAAGAGATTTGCTGTCTCCAGCTGGACCCACTGCTCATGCCAGAGTCTGGGCAGCTCATGATAAATGACTGATTCTCCACAGCTTTGTATCCCAGTCCTCCCAGCTCAGCCAGTGAGAGCCCCAGCCTACTGGAGGGAAGGTAGATGCCTCTCATTAAACCATACACCTGGTGTGGAACAGTCCCAGTGTAAGCACACCCGTGGCACAAACATGTCCCAGGTGGGCTGGGGCTCCCAGCTTTGGTAGGAGTGCCCCCATCTGCCTGCTCATCCCACCTCCCCAGGCTGAGTGACTGCCACACAGGGATATAACAGGTGGATATGACATTCCCTGCTTCTCTCCTCACAATCCTGCTGCACTGCACCTGCACACACACACACACCTGTCTGCACACCCCAGGACACTCTCAGCACACTGGGAGCTAAGGGGACATTACCTTAATGAACAGGCAGATTTAACACAAGCCAGCAATGCTGCCAGAATGGCCCCAAGCCCAGCTTCAACGTGACTCTGGAAAGGCCACCAGCACATGGATGAATGAGCCTTGGCCTCTCTGGCTTCTTGAAAGCAAAATGCCACAGTGTAGAGAAACAGGTGTCCTTGTCACGGAGCTAACCCAGGCTGGGCAAGAGACACCTTGTCCTAAGGTGTCCTAAGCCTCCCTCTGTGTGATTCAGCTGAGAAATACTGGCTTGCAAAGATCTGATTTCTTCCAAAATGGCAACATCCCTTCACACTCTGCTGCCCACTGAAGGGATTTCCTCCTCTCCTCCCACCCAGCTTTCCCCATTCTCTAAAAGGGTCTCGAGACAGAGGCTGCAGAGCTGTTCTGGGTCATGATACCCCCTAAGCCAAAGGAAGAACCAGGGGTCCCCACAAACAGTATTTTTCTGTAGATACAGGCTCCCAGCAAGACCTTGACTTTTAGAGGGGAAAAGAAATCAAATTGTTCAAAATGTGTCTGCTTTGAGGATTAAATCATATTCATTGCAGCCTATTTGTATATTTAGCACATTTCCTTGGCAAAGATATAGATGCAATTCTCATTTCGTTTACACAGCTGCAAATCCCCATCTGAATTCAAAGAAGAGGGTAAAGTCAGAGCCTGTAAATCCACTCTGGAAAAGATATTCAATCTTGTAAGTCACAGTTTACACTAGACCTTAGCCACAAGAGACTGAGATGTTGTCTGTTTACTGTTAGAGTTAGGATACAGGACTTAGAGACAGTTTACTTCTAGAAGCCAGTTCGACTCCCATCTGTAACTGCAAAGCATCTCAGCACATTATGGGTAATTAGCTGCTCAGTGGTGAAAGACTGCTGTGGTTTCCTTTGGGATAAACCATATCCATAGTCTAAGCATTGAACGACAGCCTGGCACCATTGTCAAAGTCTGCATCTCTGCATCAGCATACTCAGCAATCCATAAAAATACACTTCCCTATTCTTCCAAAGGAAGGTTTAAGCAAAAAAAATGTGTGAGGAGAGATATATCATGGATACCTGGAACCATTGGATACACTGGTTGGAGTAATTTCTGGAGGATGCCTTTTCCACTTGCTCAGGAAGAATTTAAAGATGATTCAAACTTGCCAGTAAGAGCCCAGTCCTAAATGGGACACAGGGGTCAGCCAGTTCTCTCCAGTTTCCTTGTCTCCTTACTGATAAAGCCAGCTTGGTGCAATTTCTCGTGCCTGTATTCATTACCAGTAGATTGGACTATTCTTTCAAGACTTTGCTTTTTAACTGAAATATGGCATTTTACTGATGCCATGCTTTTTACACCAGGTCCAAAATATGGCATCTCCATAACATATTAGCCAGTCTGAACATGAACATGGATGTAGTGTTAAAGATACAGTAAAAATCTGCTATACAGCTGATAATTCAGTCTTTAACATGTTTTCAAAATGTAAAAAAACTATACATGTTAATCTAAGTATCTGTGACTTTTACTCCTTCTATTTGAAACTTAGATCTGGACTCCAGGATTTTCCTGCAAGCCTTCAGACTTGGATTTGGTTTTTGACAGATGAAAACAAATAGGAGAGGCTGGTGGAAGGAACATCTCCGCTCAGTACTGGCATTGTTCAGAAAACTGTGCATGTCAGGGAAGATGGGCCCCAGCAGCTCCCAAACACTGTGCAGCACCCCAGCCTTGTGCCAGCTTTTAGCACACAGCCCACCTGGGAGAAGAGCAGGGAAATCATGGGCTGGGGCAACGTTGTGCTGCAGCTACCACCAGGTGGTGGACTGATGGTCCCCCAGCCAGTCTGCACTGGTGCAAGTGTGATAACAATCCTGTGCTAGGAACAGACTCAGGTCCCTCCCTGACAGCACCCCAGGCAGAGGAAGCAGGAGCAAAATCAGTTTTTAATATTAGGAGATGGTTCAAGAGATGCCAGTATTGGGCAGGGGAATAGTCTGCTGCTTTGGCCACGAACTCTGTCTCTCCTATGCCCCAGCAGCAGGACAGGGCTGATCTGATTCTCTGGGTCCACTCTCTCATTGCAGAGTGTGGTCACAGGAACATCCACACTACACATATATTAGCTTATTCCTAGCCTCTGCTGGAGCTGATAAACCAGCTGCTACTGAGGCAAAAGCTGTGTGTTCTGCTATGGACATTTAGCTTATTTAGCTTCACCCTTCAGGCAGAATGGTGGAGTCCTCACCAGACTTGGCTTCCTCAGCCCTACGCAGCTCTTCCATATTGTACCCCCAGGCACTGACTGCTTACATCTTTTGCCAGGGGTGCTTTTCTGGTTCTTTCTCTGGCCCAGAGTGCTGACTGTCTGGTGTGAGCCTTGGAGTAATCCCTGGGCACTCTGCCCAGCAACCACAGGAGGTTCATTCACCTTCCAAATCTATGGGAACTGGTTTTGAGTTGATGTCCTCAGCAACTGCTCATGTGTGCTCCCCCAGCATCTGAGATTTGATGGTGAGGCAGCATGTAACTTCCACCCAAGAACCTTCTGGAGCAGATTTCTTAGATGGGGAGTTTCCAAGTCCAAACTTGCCAATTTAGGAGTTTAATAATCCCTATAAAGGCATGGAATAGCCTTTGATGAGGAACTCCTCACTGCTACTTATTTCTCTGGAGAATTTGGCTGTTTACAGCTTTGCTCATTCTTCTGTACTTGCACTTCCAACCAACTGGAGGTTGTTATTTTGGGGCTGTATTCAAAAACACCCATATGGGAAGAACATAAGTTGCTTCCAGAACAAAAATAAGTCATGGCTATGTACATGCCTTAAAAGACAGTCAGTCCCTGTCTGCTTCTTGCAGTGGTTTTCAAGCACCTTGATCTTTTGCAGTATTTACTCAGCAACTCAGTCAAAGCGCCTGGGAAAGACGGGATGTAACCATAACTCCCTTTCAAATGTGTATTGGCTGGTTCAGGCACTGTCTTACTCCACAAGGAAGCCAATTGCAAACCCTAATTCTCCCAACTAATTGCTTAGGCATCTAACTCACAGTGGGCCACCTGGGCAGCAGTATCCTCCTCTCCTATAGCACCTGCCTGTAGCACCTTCTGCCTTTTCCCCCTTCCCTCTCCCCATGCAAGAGGTGCCTGTCATTCCTGGCTGTACCTTATCCAGCTGCCTTCACAGATGGGGGGGAGCAGGGGGACACAGATGGGACAGGCTGTAGAGGCTTCTCTTAGCCTTAAGGATCCACATTTGTTCCACTGAAGCATAAGAAAGGTGAAGGACCAAGGTTTAAAATTAACAGTTGTCAGGAGAGATTAATTGCTATAAATTTAAAAAAGTGGCTGAACCAGCTATTTGTTAAGAGTGAGAGTTTACTGAAGTGGTGGATCGCTTTGACAACTGAGATCCCTTTTGCAGCTGAATAACATTTTCCCTGCTTTTGTTTCCAGTTTACATCAGTCCAACAGTTAACCCACTCAAAGCTAAGAAGCAGAATAGACAATGAAAAGGAGAAGTCTGTTCTCTTCAAATTTAGGCTGATATCTACTAGTTCTACAGACCTGATGAGCACCAAATGGAAAAAAAACTTCAATTAGCATATTTTCTTTGGGTAACAAAGCATATGTTTTATGTAAAGTATTTTGATAAGTCACTTCTGTCCAGCACATGTAATGTTGTTTTACTTAGCTTATAATATCAATTTAAATGGTAGTTTTCTGGATTCTAAGCTGTTTCTTAATGATATTTATATAGATTAGGAATTTTTAAAATGTAACTATTTAAAAAACCGTGAATGGCTATTCTACTATACTAAGATGTTTAAGCATGCGGCCAAGTTGTCCTCTTTATTTGCAAATAGAAATACCTTATTTATTCTTCAGGGTGTAACTAGTTGCAAATCAAGCTGTCAAGTAGCAAGGGGGAAAGAAAAACTACTTTTTTTCCAAAAAACAATTTAAAAGAAAAAAATAAAAGGAAAAGAAAAACCCACAAAACATTCAAACCCATGAATAACAATAATATATTAAACTTTCTTGTTTGGTAGCTTTAGTCACAGCTAAGTGCAGTGGTTTTAAAATCACATTCATTTCAGCCAGCTGCCCTTGCAATGATGACCTGACATTTCTGAGGGGAGCAATCAAATATGATCCTGTTATTTGTTTGTCCACCTGTTACAAAGCAGGGATAGACAGGTCCCTGTGCTGGAATGAGATTGAGTTTCCGTGTCCTCTGGCCCAGCTATCTCTAACCTTGTGTGCACCATGCTGTCTTTGTACTCTGTGGGATCATGTTCTTGCCAGAGACATTCAAATGTGCTTCATTGCCTGGATCCTGGGGTCTACTTAAAGGAGTGAAAGAATTGTATAGCTCACGTGCACAGTCTTTATGTGTGGTCCTTTCTTCCTGTGCTGAGGAGTTTGCTGTCTCTGTAAGAATCAACCAGTAACCTCCCACCCAGCCTTGCTCAGGACGCTCTGGTTCAGTACACTGTGGACCTGAAATACCTTTCCAAGTACAGCAGCCTTCTGATGGCAGTGCTTAATGTTCCTTGATCATGTAGCCAAGTGAGTTAGAAAGATTGATTGCCTTGTCTTTCCGTGTTGCTGTAGCTCCGGGCTGGATGATGGGTAATTCTTGGCTCTCTTGGTCCAGCTTCACTCTCGCAGCTTCTCCTTGCCAACTTCTGTCAGCCCTTCGATGCCTCCTCCAGCTTTTGCCACTGGTGTGTCTGTCTGCATGCTCAGTTCACAAGCTCCTAAAAAGGCTTTTGCTACAAATCCCTGGGTCTGTCCAGGACATAGATCTTTTTCAATGTGGGAAAGTCACTGCTGAGTTGACTTCTGCTGTCTCTGTGGACTTTGTAACCATGGCTTCTCATCTTAGATGTGAGCAATATTTTCTTCTAGCTCACAGCAAATGTGTCTCAGCAGCACTGCAGATGTGGGGAGCCCATGTCTCCTAGGTAAGGGTGCTTCCTTAGAGATACCTTGCAGATAAACACAATGCCCTGTACTGAAAATACACTGGGGCATCCTTAAGGGGAACTTGAAGGGGAGCATCTACACCTAATTCAAGAACTCTCTGCTCTTACCTTCCTACATACACCATACAAAAAAATAAAGTGCCCATTTTTTGACTAAGAATCAGGTTCAGTTAAGTCAAAGCCATATTTTAGGTGCAAGTGTACATCTGGGTGATGCTGCACCACAGACACCAGATCTTCATCATCACCCGTGCAGTTTTCCTGGGACATGTCCTTCAGTTCACCCCTGTCCCGGTGACACCAGGTCTTTCCCACCCCTGGGAGAGCCAGGAGAAGTGTTGGTTCCTGCAAGACACTGTGGCAGAGGAAGGGAGCCCTAGGAGGCAGGTGTGGAATGGGGAGGTCAGCATGTTCCAGGCTTGCAGAAACCCTGGGAGTGAAAAGCCCAGCTGGTGTGAAGTCTTCAGATCCCACAGGAACAGGAGCTGCAGAAATTCCTCAGGAAGATGGATAAGTGCTCTCCTAAATTAGTCAGCATCTAAATATAGTGGCTCAACCCTAGCTGGATGACATGTAATCAGACCTCTTCCTTAATGCTGCATTATCTTGTTAAGCTGCATTATCAAGAATAATCATCACATATGTGTGATTAATATATCAATACCAACGCAAGGTATTAGAATTAATTTTTTCCCCAGAGGCAACAGATATGGGTGTATGTAGTGAAGACATCCTTTAAAGGCAGGTTTTAAACTTTCTCAAAAATGAGTCATCTTGAGATGTGTGGGTCAAAAGATCACTGTGAATATATCTCTTACAAACTTTAGGATAACTGCAGTTCACTGGCTTGCTTTTCAGGTGGGGAACTTTGTTCTTCCAGTTTCCTGAATTTTAGGAGAACTTGAGGGGTTTTTTGGCCAAAAGGATTCAGGTCTTAGAAGTACAGTTGTTAAAAATGTTAAATGGCCAGCTGAAAATATATACTAAAGACTAAATGACTCAATGATCACAAGAGCCTCTTCAAGAAGTTCAGATATTCCCAAATTTATAAAATATGTCATGGTGTTGCAACAGCAAAGAGACTTTACAAGCTTTCTGTGGAACGCAGAGCTTTTTAAAAAAGTCATTGCTTTTTTCTAGAAAAGATATCTTATGAAGGGCAGCAGCATCTTCTTAGAACAAAGGCCTGGGAGGACCAATTAACTCTATTCCCTTTTCCATAGCAAAGCACATTGCAATACCCAGTTCACAAGCTCCACTTTAAAAGCATTGCTAGTTTTTGCCTCACTAGTCCTCTCAGCAGAGGTTGCTCAAAGGTCAAATGCATTTGTGGAAAACTTCTGCTCATTTACCACTTTTCAACATCGTCCTGTGCCTGGAACAGCTGCTCTCCCAACCTGGTGTTTTCCTCCTGCTGTGTTTTGCTGAAGCCAGACTCAAGAGATGGGCTGTTGTGGTCTCTCCTTGTATGACAGCATCTTCTTAAACTCCCAGGAAACTCCTTTCTCTGCCTGTTGGATTCACCTTTCCTGAGCACGGTTTGAGTAGGGTTGAATGCAGCCTGCTAGCCTGGGTTTCACTGCAGCTGATGCCCACTATTCTTTAGATGTCTGAGTATCTGAGCAGTTTTTTTCTCTTTCCCTGAAAAGGTACTCACATGTATCCTCAGAGAACCTGGACTCACTTCCTGTTCCCTTAGGAATGTCTCTTTCCAAAGGCTTCATTTCAAAGGCTTTTCATTTCAGAGGCGAATGCAAAACAACTCATGAAATTTACCTTATCACAGCTGCTGCCATTTGCTTCCCTGTTCCCACCAGGATAAAGTCTCATTGAGATGAAATTCTTTTTATGTAAAGTGAATTCTTAGGGAAGGCAGCTTTGGGCAGTTTTGGCTGAAGCAGGCAGCAGATTACAACCCTGTATTGTATTTTTGGCTGTGCTACTGATTTGATATTAAGCATTCAGCAGGTCATTCCTTCTCTGCGTCCTCTCCATCCATATTTCTGTTTTGTCTGTTCACACTTTTATGGTCCTTGAGGCACCAGCTCTTCGCTATAAAGCACCGAATGAAGCCCAGCACAATGGCTCTAGGATTCACTGACTAATTGCTGCTGTTTTAAATACTAATAATTGCAATTCAACAAAAAAAGAAAATTGTTTTTGAAGTAGGAATTCTGCTGTCATCCCCGAGGGTGATTGCTCTGACGTTGTCAGTGCACATTTCTGGTTTAGCTTTACCATTTCAGTCCAAAGTTGTAATGCTGCATCATGGGAGCTAAGGGCTTTAAGAATAGCATCTTTCCTATTCACATCAGACCATTCAGCATATAATCTTTTTATCTCCTGCTGCAAATGCTTCTTGTGGTGAGTCCAGTCTTCTATTGCAGCATTATTTGAAGTGATTAGCTTTGACAGATTCTTTAATTTTAACTCCCAAACTTGATTTTTTGAGGTATCGAGCTTCATGATACATTTCCCCCCAGATTATGATCAAAAATGGAGCAGTGATTGTTGTTTGTTTGAAGTTGGATCTTATTTCCCTTTAGGCAGCTGAATAAGGCAGTTTTCTGGAGCTTGATACTCGCAGAGGAAACACAAGATTAAGAGCTTAATCAAACTAAGAAACAAATGCCTGGCAGGAGCCAAATACCTCCCAGTCGCCTCAGTATCAGCCTGTGCTTAGAATTCTCTGTAACAAAATTCCTGGTCAGGAACATTCCAAAGAAGGTTTTTCTTTTTAATGTTTTCACACCTATCCACTGAAACTGAGGATTTTCAGGGATAAACCATCTGAGTTGAAACTTGTCCTCGGGGGAGGTTGGTTTCATTCAGCACTTTGCTGTGTATTTTTTGCAATTGTTGAAACCGAAGAGAGAGACCCATCCCCTGGTAGATTCACATCAATGCAGGAAAAGAAGAATATTTGCCCTTCAAAAAACTCCTGAGGATGGAAAAATATATTTACTATTCATATTTTTTCTGAAATATATCTCCTATTGAAGACTGCAGGCTGATTTCCATCTCAAATGAATCACAGACACTTGTAGTGGCCTGCAGGAATGTTCTGTGTCTATGTGGTCTTGTTGTCCCAAAGAACTTGCACATATCTTTACAGCCCATAGATATGTGATCCAGAGTCCATAGCAGGTTTTGCTACTGACTTCAAAGGCTCTACATTAGTCCTCTCTATACACAGCAGGATTTACTTTAGAAAATTCACATCTGGTATGAAATGTGACCTCTGTGTCACAGTCCAGAGAGAGCTTTAAGGTTCTCCAGAGTAAAAAAAAAAAAAAACAAACAAAAACAACCCAAAAACAACTTAAAAATTCCATCCTGAACTGAAGTTAAAGTCTGTCAGACTGGAATTTGACCAGGACATAAGTAGTCTGACCACTGCTCTTTAAGGAGGTACTTGCAAATGACCATAAATTATGAGTTGCCTGGGTTTCTGTCTAATCAGAATTTAGAAGGTATTTTGATACCTGAATGTCAGTCTCCTATTAAAGATATTATTACATTTCTGAGGAAAGAAAATGGTAGAGTTATGCCAAGCAGCAGGAAAATAAATGTCTACTTTGTAGGAGCTAGGCTAAAACTGGTCACTAGCTTGCACTAACACTGTAAACAGGGGTCCAGGAGGCAGCCAAAACACTGAAATAAAATGACAGGGTTTAATTAAAAAAAAAAAAGTTGTTGTTTTTTTTTTTTAATGGAAAATGAGAACTGTAGTAAAACAATATATTGCTAACATTTTGAAAGTTATTCTGTTCATCTTTTGGACTGCGGGAGGTGGGGTAAGTCTTTATCCTCCTCTGAAATAGATGATAATTCCTTTTGCAAAGGACAGGACAAAAGGCTGCACTTTATTTTAATCATCCCTCTGACTCTAGCTGGTACTGAAAGCCACCTAACTGGCAGCCCACAAGAGAGAAATCTTCCACTTACCCACAAAAAAGCTACAGCTGTGATAGTGGGAAGGCACCAGGAGAGGACTGTGGAGGAAAATGCTTAGATCAAGTGAAAAAGGTGCTGTTCATAATATATTTGAACCATTCAATTCCATTGAAAATTATACTGGGGGGCTGTGATGTTGGCATCTGGCCATTGTGTCAAGGATCCTCTCCACTTCACCTCTATTTATGTCACTCAATGAAAAATCCATCAGGCAGGAACCACTTCCAGTTACTAAGGACCAAGGTTGTGTTTGAATGAGTGGCTGGCAGGGGAAAGTATTTGCACTCCCTAAATTCAGTCTCTTTTGTAAGGATCCTCTTAAACCTGTAATCTCTGCATTGTTGAGGGTTTGATTACTACTCTTAAAAAAAACCAAACCAACAAAACCCCTTCAGTTTTAATATGACTATTTTTAGCAAATATCTATAGTGAAGGAAGAAATGTGTCAGTGAAGCCCAGCAGTTTTAGGTGAACAGAAGGTACCAGCAGTTCAGCACCTAGGCAGCATCAACACCCTGGCAAGCATTCCCCACCTGCTGGACCAGTATGGTCTGAAATGTGTGTTTTCAAATCCAATAGCCACTTGTCTCTGGCAGGTTTGTCCTGCACTCTGTCCACAGCCAGGTCCCCTAATCCCTTCCCTAGTCCTGATACTGATGATTTTCTGTACCTACAGTGAATCAGATAACAGGGTTAGGTAAAAAAAAAAAATTCTCAAGAGGTTTTTTTCTCTAAACCATTGTACTGAAGGGGTCAAATGAGCCCCAGTTCCATCAGGAAGGAGGGGAGGGGAAATGGTAGCTGCCACACACCTTTCTCATCTGGACACTCTGTGGTGATGGCCTCATGAGTCTCAGCCAAAGGCTGCAGTTAGGGTTTGGGAGAAGGTTAGGATTAAAAAAGCCATAAAGCCTGGAGCTCCAGGAATACTGGAAGTGCAAAAGTCATGCCAAGGGGAGCATGGCACTGCCCCAGTGTCGCTCCCTCCGAGCCTCTTGCACCTTGACTACCCATGGTGGCAGAGCAAAGGAGAGAAATCTCCATTAAAGAATGGTATCATTGGAAGTTGTGTGAGCTACCTCAGATTTTGACCTGGAAAATGCCTGCAAAATCCCTTGTTTCCTAACTCACTCCCACTCAGCATTCTTCTGATGTAGGTGTTGGGAAATACATATGCAGATGGAATTGGCTGAATTAATAGATTTATTTCTAATGGGTTAACTGTCATTGGCTTGTGAATTAGAACCTCCATGGAGACAGAACAGAAGTTGCCCTTTCAGAGTCCTTTCAGAAAGTAAAGTTGGTCCTTGGATTCTAAAAGCTTGTGGAACCACCCTAAGGACATTTCTGTTTGAGAAGTTTAGGTCTGATGGCTCTACACAATAGGTCAGTGGAGCCATTTCTTTGTTCATTTGAGTAAAGTGAGAGTACCAAGTAGACACCCAGGTCAGAGGAATGGAAAGCACCATGCCAACAAAAGGTAATAAATCTGTGTCTGACAGAAAAATTCCTTCAGTCTGACATTGAA